GAGGGCAACAGTAGTGTTTTATGCGGTATAAATGTTCAGCTTGCCAAGCAAAATTTCACTTGCTAGATTTGAGCTACCTAGATGCTTTTCAGAGATCTGCACTTAGGAGTGATATATGTGTATATATATTTTTATATATATACATATATATATTAAATCCTATCTTCCACTGTAAGTATTTTCAACAGCCTTTTCTTTCCTCCTTTTGCTCTTGTCACTTATTCCGTATGTCTTGGCCACAAGTAACTGCAGCCTGGGCTGAAAAGAGACTGCACTTTCCTTTATCCACCGTATCATCGTTTTCAGTCTTGGCCTTTAACAGTTCTAGCAGCGCTGGGATAAGATGAGGCTTCTGGTTCTTTGAGACCCCTTGCGGGTGGAAGGAACAACTGAAGTTAATGGAAGATTATCTGGGACCCTCTGCTTCCAGCAGGGAGAGTTTCATTTGTGTGCGGGCACTTACTTTACCCTGACCCTCTACTTAAGATTTGAGTCAGAGCTTTTCCTCTTCCATGTTTAGTGTCAGAGTTTCAGAAAACCTTCTCTCTGCTCTGTTCCCCCTTTCTCCCCTGCATATGTGTGTGTGTGTGTGTGTGTATATATATATATGTATATGTGTGTGTGTGTGTGTGTACATATTTACATCGCTTGCAAAAGTATCATCCTTATAGCATTGCCAAAAGGCTTTTACATAATCTGTTAACAAGATTTTTAAAGCAATATTTTGAGTTGCTGTAGCAGTAGTTAATGGCTTGAAAAGAACAGGCAAAGAGACTTCCACATGTATGGAAATGTGGAAAAATGAAAAGCTATAGAAAGTGACACGTCTATGGGAATTCCTGTCCAGACTGTAGAGTTGTGGGGAAAGAAGGTAGGTAAGACATAGAAGAATAGCAAGGACCTTAAACGTAAGCCATGTGGAGTCTGATGACTTGAAGCTTGGAAATGTGATGTGAAACAAGATTTGCACCTGGAAGGTATTGACAGATGTCTCATGTGGAAGAAAATTTTGGGAGATGCATTGCTTTCTGTGTCTGCATTCTCCTATTCAGGAATCCAGGTGTTTCCCTTATGGAGCAAAACCTCTTTGAGAGAAGGAAAAATCTCAGGTATTGGTGGCACATTAACAGAAGGACATACAGATATAGTGAAAAGGGCTCCAAGGTAAACGGCAATGGAAGAAAGCAATTTATGATCTAGATTTATCTGAAATTGATTCCGATATGTGGAATCGGTTATTTCAGTTTCCTGTAGACTGCAATGCAAAGCAGCAGCAGCTTCCTGCAAGCAAACCGTGGAACCTGTTGCAATGTAGCATTGTATGCATAATATAGCAGGGTATGCATAAGCAAACACTGAATAGGCCATTTCTCTGACATAGCGTCTCCCACAAGAAATGTTTGGATCAGCCAACCTTAAAGTTATCTTACTTTACCACTTCTGCTCTACAGCTTTGCTAATGAAAGCTGTACTTCCTTTTACTTATAGCAATGTATCTCTTGCTAGAGCGCCAGAGAGCCTTGTTTTAATTTGGTTTTATTTTGCATTTTATTTTTAACTGATGTTTTGCCACTCAAGTAAGACTTTAAAAAGCATATGTGGGGCGGAGGGGAACCATTATGGCCACATTGTCTTGCAAACTGCGTAATGTCAGCAATAAAATAATGGAATTATAGGACAAATATCATTTTAATTAATGATAGAATCGTTGAAGATTTTGGATTGAAATTGACTTCTGAAGGTCATCTGGTCCCATCTTCTGTTCAAAGCAAGCAAACTGAAGTTAAATCAGGTTGCTCAGGTCCTTGGTTAGTGGTATTTTGAATATCTCCAAGGACGGAGAGTCCATAGCCTCTCTGGGCACCTGTTTCACCGTCTGACAACTCTTACGGTGAGCTATCTGGCCAGAATTTCCCTTGTGGCTGTTAGCTCTTGTCTTCATGCTGAGAGAAGTCTGCTACTGTCTTCTCTATAATCCCCATTTCTCTTCAGGCTGAACAAACAACTCCCTCAGCCTCCTGTGGCATGTACTTAACCCCCCTAACCATCTTAGTGGGCCTCTTTTTCATTGCGGGTCATCAGTTCCTCATACAGGAGGCCCAAAACTGGTCACAGTTCTTCCAGTGCAGCCTGACCAGTGCCAGATGGGGAATAATCTCTTCCTCAACCAGTTGACTCTACTTTGGCATATGGTTCAGTATTTGGTTAGCCTTCCTTCCTGCAAAGGTGCATTGATGATTTATGTACAACTTGTCCATTGGGACTTCCATGTCACTTTTACCAGAGCTGCTCCCTAGCTAGTTGGCCCCCAGCCCTTGCTCTTGCATGCGTTAAGCCATCTTACGTGCAAGACTTTACATACGTCTTTATTGAACTTCATAAGGTTTCTGCCTTTCCTCCAGCTATGAGATGCCTTTGAATGGCACTCTATCCACTACTGTTTCAGTCATGCCCCCAGTTTCACCTCATCTGTGGACTTGCTGAGGATGCCTTCCATCCTGTCATCCAGGACATAAAAATGTTAAACTGCATGGACCCCAGCATTGACCCTTGAGGAACACCACTCATAACTAGCTTCAAGTCAAACTTTGAACTATTGATTGCTACACTTTGAGCCTGACAGTCCAGCCAGGTTTTATGTATCTCATAGTCCACCCATCCCATCTCAACCTCCCCCATTTGGCGCCAAGGCTGCTACAGCAGATGATGTTAAATTTCTTAAAGACAAGCTTCATTCACTGCTAGCCCCTTGTTCAGAGGTAGTCACCTCATCACGGGATGACAGCTCCTCATCACAGGTCAGCCATAATTTCCCCTTGGTAAATCCATGCTGGCTGTTTCCAATCATTGGCTTGTTCTTCCTGTACCTAGAAATGGTACATGAAATGACTTGTCTTCCTCAGTCCCTTAGGATCTTAAACTCTACCTTATTGTGGTCACTGTAGCCAAGGCTGCCATTGCCCAGCCCATCCACAGCAT